ACCCCGTCAAGCAAGTCTGTGAAGCAGCGTCGCGCACGCCCTGTCTTCCGCTGTCGGACCTTCAGCAACGCTTCAAGCTGTCAGACCTTCCGCAACGCTTCCAGCATGCCCTCGGTTGCCTTCTCTGGCGCGCGCCCCCTTCAACCGGCGGGGTCGGCGGATATATAATATCATTGTAGGCCCAGAGCTTGCAGACTGCCCCAAGAGGCTTTGAGGGGAAGCTATATTCCTGGCGAGACTTTCTGTCCCAAAGTAGTTTTGGACGCAGACAACGGCATGACGGCCGGTGTCGGATTGGGCGGAATTGGATGACTCAGCTGCGAAGAAAACAACTACTGTATTTTACACACGTTGCGGGGAGACGCAACGTGTTTCCAAGCCGGTTTTGTATACTGAAGGTTCCAAGGCTCCGACAAAGCCTGTGAACCAAACCGTATAGCCCAGAGTTGGTGCAGGGACACCCCAAAACCTAAAACAATTGAAGCCCAACACCAAGGGGTTGAGTTGTTTGCTAGTTCGCCATCGGTCGGTTTGTAGGTTCTGGCAATTGCCAACTATATTAGCTCAGCACCACCCAAAGTTAGGGTGGTTGATAGAACGTTAATAGACCTCCCTGTAGTGCTGGGACATGGGTGGTAGTTCTTGCTTGTGAATCTGTTACTCGACCTGGTTTCGCCTAGTGCATCTAGCCTTGGGCATGCTATGCTCACCAGGCACTGCGAATTCCGGTTCCCATTCAGTCGACGAATCAAGGGTTTCTCATCTGTTTGCTGTTTTACCAAAACCTCTTCAGAGAGACTCTTGGCTCAAAAAAATAAGAACACCTTAGTGACCTAATAAAGCCCCCTTTTCTTCACCCAGCGAACGTGACTGTTTAAACCTGTGACCAATCACCACGAGGTCACACCAGCCGCAAAAAGTCGACCCTTCGACCCTCCGAAACCCCGGGAGGCTACACGGTGATTGGCATTCCGGAGGAGGCCTTCGCCCGGGGCTTTGTGGCCCTGCGCTGGATCGGTGCCACCTTGATGATTGTCGCAGGCGAGGGATGGGGAGGGGTCTGGCAGGTAGGGAAAAGAGGTGTGTATGCCATTTTTAGAATTAAGTGGCGCTGCCTGTAGCACTTGCGGGACAAACCATGACAAACAGTGATAATTACTGAACATGACTGATGAACTCGCATGCACGCAGCCGAACCAATGCATCTATATTTACTTTCTACTCACACCCCTCCCGGTTCCAACCCACGGCAGATCATGGCAGAATCCACCTAAATACTCGTATGAACAGCTTGTTCGTGGTACATCGTAGTACCCCTTTTGGCACCGGGGTGGTGTGGAATCCCTGCTGAGACGTGTTTGAACCGAACCGATTGTGTGTCACATCATTTCACATGCAGTCCTTGTGTTCTGGGGGAAGAATTTGATGCTTGATGTATAGTCGCCCACCCTACTCCAAGAGAGATAGCCACCACCAGGGGTTAGCGACCACCCTAGCACCATGCCACCGTGGAGCAGAACACCGTCCTGTCGACCTGTCGAGGCATGCTGGTGTTCAATCCTCGACTTCGACGAGTTGCTATTCTAAGAGGCTATACCAGCCCGCTGGATTTCATCAACGACCGCTATGGCACAATGCGTTTGAGACTGCTGTGTACCATTTGTGGGGTAATCCCAATCATTGGCGGCCCAGCCGAATTGGTTCGGGGCAGAGGGATTTGTTCGGGGCGCGGACTGCGCGTGTTTTGTTCAGCCCTGGCAGGTCACAAGGTATGGCAGGTCACGAGGTTTAAAAGGATAGATGATACAAGTAGATGTGATGTATTCAATCCTGTGCGGACATAAAGACCATGGGCATCAGATAACTAAGTTTTTCTATTGTTTAAGTTATTTAGTTTCCATAAATGTGTCATTTGCTGCAGCAACAGATGTTCTTCCTGCGCATTTGTGTTCGGTATCTACATCTATCCACTTCTCTTTCCTAAACCCTAAACCGCCCCAAACCTCCGACCTCCGAGGCTACATTACCGCGCAGATCGTGTCCTTCGCAGCGATGTTGGAGGGAATGACCTTGGGGGCGATCCCCAAGTGGAGCTGCATGCTGATTTTTTGTGTCTTCCGGCCGAAAAGGATCGGAGATCATCATCCTATTTTGTTTGTGCAGGTGGAAGTAGCAAAAGTCAGATGTGAATTGGTTGTTTTGGATAATGCAGATTTGGCCCATTGAACCAATATTCAATGTTGATATTGCTGAATGAGACTATGTGTTGGCCAATTCTCATTGTGTTATGCTAGTTTAGGACAAGTTTAAGAGCCAAACCCAAACGTGTTTTACGATATATATATATATATATATGGATATAGATTAAGCTGATATGTACCAGGAACCTGACTGTTGTTATTGTGCAATTCAGTGACTCCAGTTGAAGCAAGAACAAATGTTAGCACTCTCTGAGGATAATAGTCCTAAGATCTCCTGAGTGATGGAGAGTATGAGTGTGGTCATCATACCATCGATCGTCTGACTCTGCCCAGGTGATGATTTTGACCCTAGAATTCCTTGGTGGCATGAACAGCGTGGTGCTCACGGATGCCATTCAGAGTGTTGTGATGATCGCTTCATTTCTGGCCATCCCCATCGTTTTAGCTGCCCAGTATGGCACCATCCCGTCGCTGGGCCCACCCGACTGCGGGTTTCTGCGGGGTGTCAACACCAGCGCCCCCGTCGCCAGCGCTTACGTGGTGCCCGCAGAGTGTACAGTCGAGGGTGCGGGGAATGGCTGCATGCCAGCAGGCTGCATTGCGGCGGTGAACCCGGAGTTCTACCAGTTCCCGAGCCTTCAAAGAGCAAGAGAAGATCTACGTATTAGACCGTGTTTGTTGTTTGAATGCTGCGGGTTTCTGCGGGGCAGATGAAGCCTGCATCCTTGCACAGTACAGTCTGGGGAAGAAAATCGAAAAGATGGGTGTCCCCTAAATGGATCCACAATGATCCCTTTTTTGATTATTTGTGTGGGCATGACCCTTGAATGGTTTGCTTTGTTTTGCAAGCCCTCCGTCGTCATTGTGATGATATTTGCTTTACAACACCCAGGAGCCGGGCTGTGGGCTGTGAGATCGCCTTCTTTTTGCTGAACATGCTCACTGCACCTCTCTCGCCCCACTTTATCCAGCGGACCTATATCGCTACATCGGACCAGGACCTGCGCGTGGTCATGGCTGCAATGTTGGTGGCGCCCTTCATTGCGCAGATTCCTGGGATCGTCTTGGGGCTCACGAAGAGCGCCTATGAGTCTCGGAAAGCATCGGGTGTTGCGGCCAACGCTAGGGAAGTCTCAAGCTGTGAAAGTATGCTGAACTGGAAAGGCTTGAAGTCTTGCAACATAAATCGAGTCCATTTTTCAAGATGTTCCAAGAAGTTAAACACAGGAGTCAGCAGTGAGTCTCCAAGCTGCAGGACAATGCCATGAGTGAGTAGTACATGCGGATCCCCAAGAACGATCTGAGGTAGGCAACAGACAGCTTTAGCATCCAAAGCTTCGTCAGATTGCACAGAATCAATAGTGACGCCAAATGGCTTAAGAATGTCTAAGATGTTCAAGGGGGAAAGCCTGTCAGTTTACAAAACCACCGGTTTTCTCACTGAAGAGAAGCGTCCAAAACTGCCGGCCGGGGCCGGCCGGAAGACGCCGTTTGGAGGATCCCTTGTTTCCTGTGGTCGATCAAGACGCCACAGCCTTCAGCGGTTTGTCCGCTCAGCTGAAGATGGCAGGAGCATCGGCTCGGTCCCCAGTTCGGGGAGGCGTTCCGCAACCCCTCTCGGGTCGCTTCAGATGGCCGGGATCAGCTGGTTGATTTGGGCCAAGGGGCAGGTGAATGGGCCCAAAAGACCACTGCAGTAGTCACATCCGAGAAAATCCGACGAAAATCTCGTGCACACTAAAGTAGTCACAGGGTGGTCTTGGGATATTGGAAACCTGCATCAAACTTGCATAACTGATGGGGGCCGACCCATCTACCGATGCCCTTTCGACGTGCCAACCACTTTAGGAAGCACGCTGCCACGCTACATTTGTAGCTGGCGCAAACACTTGGTATGTTCCTCTATGAGTTGCTTACGGCAGTATACAAGACGTGTTGCAAGACCTACAAATTCATTGCGACCGCACAGGGGGCCACGCTAAATCTCCGGACCCAGTTGACCCGGTTGACCCAGTTGACCACAACTGGGTCAACTGGGTCAACCGGGTCAACCGGGTCAACTGGGTCAACTGGGTCCGGAGATTTAGCGTGGCCACCGGGTCAACTGGGTCCACCGCCGCCACCACCACCACGACGACGGCTACTACTACTGCTACTAACCTCAACTGGGTCAACTGGCTCCGGAGATTTAGCGTGCCACCGGGTCAACTGGGCCCACCGCCCAACTGGGTCAACTAACCCTCAGTTCAACGAAAACCAGGGATCAGGCGCAAACCAGTTGGACTTGTGTGTCTTTTCCAGGTCCAAAGCAGGGATCAGGTGCTTCGTGTTCGATCGTCACAGTCTATCCACCAAACCATCGACAACTAAGTCAACTCATCCATAGAATTCTCGAACCTGAGTAAGTGACCTGTACTGTATTTTAGATCAACACCAACCATCTTCTTCTGTGGCAACATGGAGCTATAAAGACGTGATCTAATCAATGGAAACCAATCTCAACATCAGACATTCCGTGCAGAGCTTGATTCGGAACCTTACTTGTTCAAGTTCAACAACGGTCTCCATCACAACCTCGGTTGATCCAGCTTGAGCCACTTCAGAAGCCAACAGTTGGGGACCGCCTCTTCCTGCGGGTCAAGAGATAGCTCTAGACTCTAGATCTATCGACGACCTGTGAGCAAGCGAGTTGGTGATGTAAAACTACTAAAAGAAAGCTAGAAACCAAGATCACCACAAAACATTTTGTGTTGAGCTTGGTTGGGACTCCCTCTTCCATCGAGTCGACCATGGCCGCGTAAACAACATTCTAACCATTGCAAACCAAGCTCAACGCCAGGTGTCCCGTGTTGAGGTTGGTTTAAGACTTTTCCTGAGCCAGTTGAGACACTGCTTCCATCAGAACATCAGTAGAAAACAAACGCATAAACAAAAATAATGAGTTGTGAAAACACAATCTAACACATAGAAACCACACACTCGACACCAGGGATCCCATGTTGAGGTTGATTGGTGATCTTTCCTGATCCAGTTCAGACAATGCCTCTATCACAACCTAGTAGTAGCAGTGGACCCAGTTGACCCCAGCTGACCCGCTTGACCCCAGTTGCTCTAGATCGCCCAGTTGACCCAGTTGACCCCAATTGACCCAGTTGACACGTAGTAGCAGTAGCAGTGGTAGTGGTCGCAGTGGTCGACTTGACCAGGCGGCCACACTAAATCTCCAGACCCAGTTGACTCAGTTGAGGTCGACTGGGTCAACCGGGGGTCAACTGGGTCAACTGGAACACCCTGTTGAACTGGGTCAACTGGGACCACAGATTTAGCGGCCCCCTGTGCCGACGCACTCTACATTTTTGTTCCAACCACTGAATAGTTTTCTCACCGCAGTGCCTTACCGATGCCCCAGCCGATGCCCACTTTGAACATGCTTGTGTCACTTGTGTCCATGGAAGAGCAACTCCTCCACAACTTGTGCAGCCACTACACTTTGGACATGTTTGTGCCCATGGAAGAGCAGCTTCCCCACAACTTGCACAACCACTACTGCAGTTGATTCGTGCCCTCACTGTTGGCGTGCCAAACTATGGCAAGCTTGATGCCACCAACAAAGCTTGAAACGCGGCAAACCCTACAAACCTGCACATCCGACGGGGGTCGACCCATTCTAGGCAATGTCTTCAGGCTAGATAAGAGATTTTTTTCGGCACACATATATCACATACTGACCCCCAAATGGACACATACATCAAAAAACCAGAAGTGCTGGGGTGAGTTTAACACTTTTTGAACAAGGGAAAAGGTCGTTGACTGTCTTGTTCGCGGTTCCCCCCTACTCATGAATGTCATGAATCCTTCAGAGTTGCAAAAGAAACACACATAATATGTTGTACCTCGTGTTTTGTTTTTCCATGTTTTTCCTATCTAATCAACATCCTCCTCAACAAACAGTCACACTCCTACACCAGCAGCTGGCGGCTGGCGTTCCTTACGTGGCCTTTGCTGATGGGTCATGCCAAGGTACCAGGGTTTTTTGTTGAGACTTTTGAGTCTTTTTTCCCACTGAGCAAGTTCAAGAACCCGGTTTTACATGTTGATAGCGAGGGTCTTGTCATATCGTTCGCTTCGCATCCACCCCTGCCGACCTTGTTTCCGTAGCTGGTCCTGAATCTCCAGGACCCCTGCAATATGTCTTGGTGACGGTGATGACTTGCTCCACGCTGGCGGCCATCATGTCCACCGCCGACAGTGCAGTCATGGGTGCCTCCTCCATTGTCTCCATCGACCTGCTCAAAGGAACGCTCCTACCAAAGCTAACGACCAAACAGGTGGTACGCGCTGGAGAGTGCAGCAGTGTGCCTGAGAAGAAGTGTACCAGGATGTGGTTTTGATGGACGTTCTTTCGAAGAAGTCCAACATGACCAGTGAAAGTGTTTTGATTGCTGTACTATTCTGGATAGTGGTACAAGGTGAACAAAACATGAGACCTTTCGGGGAGGAACCGGACGTTCTTCCGACCTCCGGCCCTCAACCGGAAATTCAATGGAGTTGGTTCCGCACGAAGCCATGAATCGAGTCGTGAGTCATGCCATGTCATGGCGACCAACGGTGACATCTTTTTAGGTCAAGTGATCATTTTTGGCACCGTGAAGCCCAAAGAGGCGGATAGAGCTCGAAGTTGGGGTTGGCCGCCACAGTACAACTGTAGGCGAACAGTGTAGAAGCTTGAGGGATGAGAACTGGCTGGGAGGAGCACATCCTTCGCTGGGTCCAAAGATGAAAATGTCTCCTTTCCACCCTCATTTGTGATGGGGGATAAATGCCTGTCCCGGCGCTCTTCATGATTTTTCAGGTGCTCATTTGTGCCCTGGCCAGTTGCTTGGGGATGCTGTGCAGCTCGGACCAACTGGGCGCCATGATGGTCTTCCAAGGAGGGATTTCAATGCAGACACTTCCAGCCTTTGGACTTGGGCCACTTGGACGGCAAACCGGTGGGACATCGGGAGAGGCCCTGTCGAGAAACGGGTTTTGCTGGTCAGATCACCCTTGATCAGTAGACGGGGTAGGCCGGAATACATATATATGCACATGTATATATTATACACATTGTTATTACTAATACTATACAAAATCACAATACGGAAAGAACTCCTTCGAAGGTGATCTACACTCTTCTTGAGGGCCTTTGTCAAGTGCGGACTTTAGGGATTGTTGCCTTTGTGTGTTGGTGGTTTTTCATAATACATCTGAAGAGGCTTCCACGGAGATCCATTCCAACAAATACCCGGGATCCAGAAGCCCCTGTATATACTACAATACAGACAAGACATGAATGGTTTCATTTTTTTGATACAGGAGCTCCTATCCAGTAGTTCATTCCAAAGGAGAGCTTCGTGGAGGATGCCCATGATCCAATATGTTCTGGGGACTCAAAACCACTCCGACACGGAACTCTTTTCTTCTGGATGGTGGTTTCAGACATGTTTGTAGTGCAAGCGTTCAACCTTTACATGGGATGATTGATCCGACTAAGTAATGAGTTTCGGTCGTGAGTTGAAGCCACCAACCAGTAATACAGTGGTTTCAGAGTTCATGGCACTGTCACTGGCAGCTTTATGATGTTTCTTTAGATGAGGGTCCATTTTCCAACCACCTAACTTGGGACCTAACTTGGGTTTACCAATCACTGATATCATATGGGGATCTCGTGTGGCATATATTGACCCTGGACGACGGCCGCGAAGTCCGCCCCTTCTGTGTCCAGGCTGTATGTGCCCATCCGGGAGCCGGCGGCCGCTGGGCGAAACGTAATGGAGGTCGGTGGACTCGGGATGATCTGGGATGACCCCATGACATCGGGATGATGGGGTCTAAGAATGTCTAAGATATTGTTTTTCCTGACCCCATGACCCCTCCACTCAATATGTCACTTAATTGGAAGGGGGGGTGACCTACGAATGAATGGTTCTCAATGATTTCTGTTGTTTTGCGACAAGTGGTCGACAATTTTGGTAAACACCTAAGTTGGATAAAAACAATAATTTGCATTTTCCCAGTGTACTTTAGATCAAGCTAGGGTCATATTTACTTGAGAAATAATCAAGAGGTGGTGGAGAGGTCGCACACCCCTCAATTAATCATCACGGAGGGCCGGGACGGGAGAGAGAGAGAGAGAGAGGCAGAGAGAGGAACCAAAGTAACTCAGGACGTCGACGTCGAGTAAGTTTCAGAATATTCAGGGTCTATCTATAAGTGTTATTTCATGTTCCCAGTGTACCTTGGATCAAGCTAGCATATTGCTTAGCCTAAATGAATCGACCCCTCCTCTAGAGGTCAACCCCCCCTGAAGTCATTTTTGTTGCCTGGGTTTGAGTGTGATGGCTGCTTTCCTGCTTGGTTTGCATGCGGTGGCCACTTTCCTCCCTGGTTTTTGAGCGCTGCTCACATATTACGTTGGCCTGGCTGGTTTGCCACGTGGGGAGTGGACATTAATTGAAGGGTTTGTGAGGTGTCGATGAGTTAGGGGGTGTAGGGGGGCCCTAAGAACATTAAGTGAGGTAAAATATTAATTTCCAAAAATCAGGTATGTCCACCTTCAATTCATGTTGTTAATTGAGGGGGGGCCCCCAGGACCCTATCTAAGGCAGGGTTCATGTTTTTTCTTTAGAGCGGCTCTAGTATATGATTGTATTTTTTTATTCAGCCCGGGGTGGGCCGCGGATGGAGGATAAGAGGTAGCTAGTAGCTTTCTAGTATGGACGCAGGATAGCTCACGCCTCTTCAAGGAAGTTCCCCCCGCCGCCCTAAATGCGGCGGGGAGCTTCCTTGAAGAAGCGCTCGCGCCAAATGATTTGGTTCCTAGAATTTAGGGAAACTATATAATTAGTGGACATGTTGGATGATGGCAACACACACCGGTCCCGTAGCTCTTTGGGGCCCTGAGATGTTCCGTTCCCTGTCACTGGCACGCTGCTATGCTCAGTTTCCATACCTCAAATTGAGTTGTTTGACTTTTGTGACTCGAGTGAGGACGATCAGACCTGCAGACTTGACCCCGAAACCCCGACTTGTTGCGGAGAAAAATCAGGGCTTTAGTATCTTCCGAGGGTACCTGTCACTGATCATTGGCATTGTAAAAATGAATGAAACCTCCAAAAAACGTGTGGACGCCGGGCCTATGGCGAACAAAGATGTTGTTGAAGACAAATATAAGTGTTCAATCAGTGTTCAACTGCATTAATTCTGTATATGTATTGAGAGTTTGTGGCAACACCATTCATATATAAGCATTTGAGGTCCAAGGTCCCAGAAGCAAGAGATGATAAGAAATCCCTCCCTCAAATCCGACATCATCTTGATGTCCTTCCCCCAAGGGTCGGCACGTCCTCCCCGAGCGTCTTCCAAAAGTTCCTCAAGGCACCATCCGACTCACCCAAGCCTCCTAGAGTTGTAGAGTCTGCATGGCTCGGCGTGAACATGGATCTCCCTAGTTGGGTGGTTCGCGCTCAGGTAAGTGCCGGCCTCCTTGTTGGCCTAATCTCCTTTCCAATGATGATGCTGCTCGGCATGGAATTGGGGCGCTTTTGTTGACATCCCGAGTCCAGAGTGCGGTGCCGGTGGAGCCGGTACCACATCCGCACCCTTCACAAAAGAGCACACTTATTACATGTTTACAGTTTCACATGTGTACCTATGATAGTGGCGTTTTCTGGATTCTTTTCAAGTGGATGAAACAGATGTGTTTCCTCCCACAAGTAGAAAGATGCTCCACACTGTAGATCGAATCTCCAGGTTGGAAGCTCTCTGTGACATCGACGCAGGTTGGCAGGGAACCCTGTCGAGGACTATGTGCCCACTGTCTACTTGGCAGCCTTGCTGAACTTCCTCACCGTAGCGCTGGTGCAGCTCTTCACACCACAGGTGCGGTGACGCAGCAAGTTTGGGATTCGCGAGATTCTGCAATAATAGGTTGGAGGCCATGTCTGTTAGGTTAAAGGCCCGCGCTCTTAGGTTGGAGGCCATCGCTGTTAGGTTGGAGGCCATGTCTGTTAGGTTGGAGGCCCGCGCTCTCAGGTTGGAGACCATCGCTGTTAGGTTGGAGGCCATGTCTGTTAGGTTGGAGGCCCGCGCTCTTAGGTTGGAGGCCATCGCTATTAGATTGGAGGCCATCGCTGTTAGGTTGGAGGCCATCGCTATTAGATTGGAGGCCATCGCTGTTAGGTTGGAGGCCATCGCTATTAGGTTGGAGGCCATCGCTGTTAGGTTGGAGGCCATCGCTCTTAGGTTGGAGGCCATCGCTGTTAGGTTGGAGGCCATTTCTGTTAGGTTGGAGGCCATCGCTATTAGGAGGCCATCGCTATTAGGTTGGAGGCCATCGCTGTTAGGTTGGAGGCCATCGCTATTAGGTTGGAGGCCATCGCTGTTAGGTTGGAGGCCCGCGCTCTTAGGTTGGAGGCCATCGCCATTAGATTGGAGGCCATCGCTATTAGGTTGGAGGCCATCGCTGTTAGGTTGGAGGCCATCGCTCTTAGGTTGGAGGCCATCGCTGTTAGGTTGGAGGCCATTTCTGTTAGGTTGGAGGCCCGCGCTCTTAGGTTGGAGGCCATCGCTATTAGATTGGAGGCCATCGCTATTAGGTTGGAGGCCATCGCAGTTGGTTGGAGGCCATCGCTATTAGGTTGGAGGCCATCGCTGTTAGGTTGGAGGCCCACGCTGTTAGGTTGGAGGCCATCGCTATTAGGTTGGAGGCCATGTCTGTTAGGTTGGAGGCCCGCACTCTTAGGTTGGAGGCCATCGCTATTAGATTGGAGGCCATGTTTGTTAGGTTGGAGGCCCGCTCTCTTAGGTTTGAGTAGGTTGGAGGCCCGCGCTCTTAGGTTGGAGGCCCGCGCGATTAGGTTGGAGGCCATCGCTATTAGGTTGGAGCCCATTTCTGTTGGGTTGGAGGCCCGCGCTCTTAGGTTGGAGGCCATCGCTATTAGATTGGAGGCCATTGCTATTAGGTTGGAGGCCATCGCTGTTAGGTTGGAGGCCATCGCTATTAGGTTGGAGGCCATCGCTATTAGGTTGGAGGCCATTTCTGTTAGGTTGGAGGCCCGCGCTCTTAGGTTGGAGGCCATCGCTATTAGATTGGAGGCCATCGCTATTAGGTTGGAGGCCATCGCTATTAGGTTGGAGGCCATTTCTGTTAGGTTGGAGGCCCGCGCTCTTAGGTTTGAGGCCATCGCTATTAGATTGGCCCGCGCTCTTGGGTTGGAGGCCATCGCTATTAGGTTGGCGGCCACTTCGGTTAGGTTGAAGGCCCGCGCTCTTAGGTTGGAGGCCATCGCTATTAGGTTGGAGGCCATTTCTGTTAGGTTGGAGGTCCGCGCTATTAGGTTGGAGGCCATCGCTATTAGGTTGGAGGCAATTTCTGTTAGGTTGGAGGCCCGCGCTCTTAGGTTGAAGGCCATCGCTATTAGGGTGGAGGCCATTTCTGTTAGGTTGGAGGCCCGCAATCGCCATTAGGTTGGAGGCAATTCTGTTAGGTTGGAGTCCCGCACTCTCAGGTTGGAGGCCATCCCTATTAGGTTGGAGGCCATTTCTTAGGTTGGAGGCCCGCGCTCTTAACTTGGAGGCCATCCCTATGAGGTTGGAGGCCATCCCTATTAGGTTGGAGGCCCGCGCTCTTAGGTTGGAGGCCATCGCTATTAGGTTGGAGGCCATCGCTATTAGGTTGGATGCCATTTCTATCCGTTTCTGTTAGGTTGGAGGCCCGCGCTCTTTAGGTTGGAGGCCATCGCTATTAGATTGGAGGCCATGGCTATTAGGTTGGAGGCCCGTGCTCTTAGGTTGGAGGCCATCGCTATTGGGCTGGAGGCCATCGCTATGGGTTGGAGGCCATCGCTGTTAGGTTGGAGGCCATCGCTATTAGGTTTGAGGCCATTTCTTAGGTTGGAGGCCCGCGCTCTTAGGTTGGAGGCCGTCGCTATTAGGTTCGAGGCCATTTCTTAGGTTGGAGGCCCGCGCTCTTAGGTTGGAGGCCATCGCTATTAGGTTGAAGGCCATTTCTTAGGTTGGAGGCCCGTGCTCTTAGGTTGGAGGCCATCGCTATTGGGTTGGAGGCCATTTCTTAGGTTGGAGGCCCGCGCTCTTAGGTTGGAGGCCATCGCTATTAGGTTTGAGGCCCGTGCTCTTGGGTTGGAGGCCATCGCTATTAGGTTGGAGGCCATTTCTTAGGTTGGAGGCCCGCGCTCTTAGGT